ATTTGGTTTACTCTTGGGTCACTAATTTATTTGTTTTACTTTGGATACGTCATAATCCACATTTGTACTTTTTTTGGTTACATAAAACCAGTTTATCCTCTCTTTGTTCAATTGTACTTTCTAATCTCTCAACTATTTTATCAGCGTGAAAAATAGTAAATACCTCAAAAGCTAGAGTAAATATATAGAACCAGAATACAAATATACAAAACCAGTCTTCACTTTGTAAACATCGAGTAGCATCTTCAACTGGAACAGATCCAGATTTTAGGCTAAGGAAAATACTTTGTTCAAAAAGGTAAATCTTAGACAACAGATGAAAGCCAAATAATAATTCACTCACATGCTTGAATACCCATACAGTAAATTCCATCCCAAGCTGCTTCAACCTTGATGTGGTTCCACTGCCTATTACATTCAAGAGTGTGGTTGTGTTAGAGATTATTGAACAATTAATGGGCTTTCATTTAACAACTTATGCTATGGAACAAAAATATCCTTGACATAAAGCCTCAATGATCAAGTGGTCGGGAATTATTTTTACCATTCACACCATATTTCATAATCAAAATGAAACCAGATAGGATCATGACAATGACATTACAAAATGAGGGGCAAAACGGAAAATCAATAGTAGGAGGTAAAAGTGAAGAAATCGGCATATATCCCACAAAGATTGAGTGTAGCTAGTGCATATGTATTTGTGTGTCTATTTTGAAATCAAAATTTATGTGAACAAAGATAATAAATTTCTTCGGAATGAGGCAGTTTCTTTTTGTCAGATATTAAAGATTATGAAGAATTCCAAGGAAGCCAAAAGCCCCCTATAGCAACCTGCATTTTTCATAGGTTGTGAAGACCGTGTCTTTCTACAAAGAATTCCAAGAAGGCTAAAAGCCCCATATGGCATGTCATTTGTCATGTGAGTGTTACGCTCCTTTGCCCATTTAAAACCTCTGTGCCAAAAAAGGAGAAACTATTCTAAATCCCAAACACCCACCCAACTCTTACCAAATACACCAAACATTTCACAAAGAGCCGCCAGTATCCAACGTAAGTATAAATAGTGTCCTGTTTGAAGTACCATTTATATACACACAATACAGAAATTAGAAGATAAAGCTATGTTTGGTCCCCAACACTGCGAAATATCATTTGTGTTAGTTCTCATGATTACCACTTCCCAAAATTTCCAAATAGTCGTTTTAAATTTTGAAGGAGTTTGAGAATTCCAAATGGGCGATTCAAGACAGAATACTCAGAGGAGAGGAAATAAGGAAATGAAAACAGGACTGCTCACCAACATTTCCTATCCATATTCTTCTTTCCTAATACTTTCTTCTTCTATCGGAACAAAGGAAAAAAAGGTATCTTCATGTGCAAGCACCCAGACTATGAATTCCATCTATCCCTATATACAATATCTGAAAACATTTTGGATGAAGAGATGTAACCATGAGTTTCAATGTTACGTTGCTAGAGTGAGATCGAGATAGATATATAAATTCAGCCACATTGTTTTTCCTTTTAATCCTAGTAAAAGAATGGTCCTTGGTATCATAGGTACACAAGAATATCATAATATAAGGACAGCATTTCCAAATAATAGGGACATTCTGGTACCATAAATGCAACCAAAAATGCATTGCAAGGTGGATGGAAAACTGTTAGCTGCTGTAATAGACCGACAGAAGATGGACATTAATTTTGCTCTAAGTACGGGGCTCCCAGGATTGACTCTTGATTCTGGATCAACATTTTCTACTGCAACCGTACCTACATTCAAGTCAAACATATACTGATGCTCAATTGTGAAAAGAAAAGAGAATAAAGAAAAAAACATATATGCACAGAATTTGCTCTCTGATATAGAAGAGCAAAAACCAAAGGAGCAAGAACAAGTCATTATTTAATTTAAGTGATCTGTCAACTAACAATATAAATGATGTGGCATGAAATGAAGTGTTAAAGGAGTTGCTGGGTTATCGTTTAGGGTAATTATATGAACATCAAAATGAAATTTAGATCAACACTTAGCAACTTAGTAAATATACCTTTTAGTGGCATAATCCAAAATATATAACATATTTAACTTAAAATCTCCAAGGTCCAGCACACTGATGTCCTTATTTAAGTACATCCAAGGTACTAAAGAATGTTCATGTTTAAACATTGGTTTTAGATTTAAAAAAAAAAAAAATCTTGAATTGATCGTATGCCAGAATAGAAGACAGAGAACATTATCGTTTTAAAATAGCAACAGATGAAAAAGTGCCAATTGGGCACAACTCAAATATACAAAATGCATACAAAAAGTCACAATTGAGCAATAGTTACATTGAAGAAATAAAGTAATATTTAAGATATAAAATAAATAATAGGAATAACCTCCCTAAATTCAAGGAGAATCTCAAGCAGAGTGCTTTCGCAAGTCAATTTAATCTTTAAGAGCCATGCGGATTCAAATAGATTAATAAAACCCTTACACATTTTTTATGGCAAAATGTGCCTATATGCCTACATTACCAAAAGTTTGCAAGCATACCATTAAATAGTAAAAACAGCCTGTTGATCAGATTTTGATCGTCTAAATTAACACCACTGGCCTTCTTCTTCAAAAGCTCCTCGCCTCTCTTAATAACAGACTCTTCACTTGAGTTAATCAATCAAACAACACATGATAGTCCACAAACAAATCACCCAAAGATATAAATCAGTAAGAAAAGTCAGGTAAAGCAAAAATGCGATTCACATAACACAAGAACAACAAGATACCAATCAACAGAGGCAGCAATATATAAGGGGTAAACAAGCTCAGAGGCCAGCTCCATAGCTTGGATGACATTCAAAATACCCAACTGCACAAAGAGAAAGCAACAAAAATATTACCACTCGCAGTATCTCTGTTTTTCTTTCCACAAAGAAAAAAATTAAGGAAGAAAGGAGTCAGAAAAAGCAAGAACAAACTGTTATCCAAAAGGACCCTAAGAAAGCACAAAACGCTATTTAAATTAAAAATACAACAAAGCAGGTTGAGGTCATTGCAAATCTGAGATCGCAATCCGCAAAAAAAAAAAAAAAAGGAAGAAGAGACAAAACAAAACAAAACAAAACCATCAGCAGAACACCAAACTTCAAACATGAATACTATGCTTTCCTGCAACAAAGCCAAAGGTTATCTTGCAAAAGCAGCAAACTGACAATGATAAGGCATGCACCTTTCCTGAAACCCTATAACAGCTAATGAGCTAGAAAAGCCTGTATGTCAGATGGTTGAACATCAATCTGGATAAAAATACTATAAGTCTTTTCAAATCTGCCAAACCACGTCACGATGTAGAAGAAAATGGTTATTTGTCTCCAGAACTTATAAAACACATCACACATATATCTATTGATATTGAGCCTTCAAGTCTGTAGCAGATCACTTGAATTAAATATTGGTTCTATCAAGAACTATAGTCCAAACAAACTTTATCTCAGAAGGAGCCTTTTTTTAAGAAAAATTTTGACGGCAGGAACACAATAGGCATTTGAATTTCAAATCAAAAAATCAAAATGATACAATTCTATATAAATATCTGTTAAGCTCAATTACTTGGCTGATTATAACTATCAGTTTGGTGCACATATTAAGACCAGCTAAGTGAAATTCATCTTATGATTTCTCACAGTAGTAAAATATCAAGCATAAGAAGCCTATGACTTCGTTTATGCACTTACCATACATAATATGAGAATAATAATAACACCAACAGCAAAATGTTTCTGATATTATCATGCAAAATATTATTTAACCAGTTACATAATTACCTTTCCAAGCATAAGTTTATCACTTGGCAACTGTTGTTTCCCTGTAACACGATTGGCTTGAGCAACTGAAAGTCCAGGAGGGAATCCACCACTGCAAAGAATCATAAACTACCATTTAATTTACATAAGATTGCAACAGTTTCAGCAATCCATGTAGCTCCAAACCTTTGAGAAACCCGCTGGTACAACATTGTATGAGTACAAAACTCAATAAACAGCTCCCTGTCATGTGGATCAGTCACTAATCTATACTTTGCAGCAACTTCATCACTAATTTGACTTGAGTGGCATTCACCAACTACCTAAAGGAAAGAAGAAATCCATTAGAATGAATAGCGAGAGCCCACTAACATATAACTGTGGGCAGCTACTCATAGCACATGACAAGCACACAACAGGGCAGTTAAGGTTCTTGGCTAGGACAACTCGATAAGGCACTTCATGCATGGACTTTTTTATTTAATTTGTAATAGAAAAAGAAGTTTTATTGAAAAGAAAAGGGAGGAGTTGAAAGCGCAGTTGCTTTGAGGGAAGAAGTAAGGTCATGCAGCTAGCATCCTACTAATCATTTTATTTCTTTTGATAAACTGTCACCACGTTGTCAAGCATTTGTCAATAATGCCTCCATAGAAAATTTGCCAAGGAATTTCTTTGAAGCTGCAGAGAAAAAGGAATAGAAATCTGCCGCTGTTTGTGAATCCAGATTCCAGAAGGGATAGCCCCTAGAAAGACCATACAAAAACCACAAAGAGGCCAAGCAAAGTAATTCTCTCTCAATTAAGATGTGACAAAAAAAAATTCTCATTAAACAATCTCACATTCCTTTCTAATGCAAGACGCCACACACTAGCCCATACAGCTTACTGCCAGAGAACTTTATGCTCCTTTCCCTGGCCACAACCAGTAAACTTAATGGCTACAGTGGCTACAGGATCTGCAGATTAGCTGGATATACCAACTGAGCGCTGGAAAATACCAAACAACCTACTGCAAAACAGTTATGCTACTACACAATGCAAAAACAGGTGCTTATGGGTTTCAGAGCAACGAAATCACATACAAATATCAGGAGAAAAGCCATTTTGGCCTTTCAATCTGAAGTAAATCATTCGCATTAATTCTGTTCAGTGCAGGTATCCAAACCAAAAACCATTGGTTTGAATAAGCAACAGAAGTGGAGTCGCTATGTGAGGTACAATGCTCCAAACCCTTACCCACCCGCCCGCCGCCCGGGGGGGGGGGGGGCCATGATCCTGGAATTAAGGCATCATGATTTAATCCAAGGGAAGAAAGAATGGTAAGGTGGTAAGGGAGGGACATGATAAGTTATGGTTTCATTGTTTGAAGAAATCCAGAATAAAAGGAACAACAAGGACATGCAGTGGCAAGTGCATTTAAATTAAAAAATCATATGGGAATTCGTAGTCATAAGCATTATCTAATGTACCATGACATCATTTTTTCTACACTGTGAAGTTAGAAAATAAAAAATGACATCTCTAAGCAAGGAGAAATAGAATGGTCAAAGTCATTAGCTGGCTTGCAAACTCTAAATAAGCATCAATACAAGAACTTCATGAAAACTAATTATAGAATAGTCAAGGAGATATGAAAGGTCAATACCTTAACAACGATTCTTAGTATGATTTCCTGGTGTTGAAGAGGAAGTTTTGAGATGTTCACTAAGAGAACAGGTGCCAAATTCTCTTTTTCCTGATTTAGATGCAACAAGTATTAGATTATTTTCAGAAGGCTCCACAGTAAGAATTCATTAATGTGGAGAAAAAGTGATCTGCTAAACTTTGAGCCAGTGATTATAGCCAAGGAAAAACATATCTATAAAAGGATTTCAAATAAATCTTGGAACAATCAATTTGCCTATCCACTATAAAATTATATATTTCCCGTGGAAAACTAGAAGATTCAGTCAAATGATAAAACAGGCATTAATAGTATCAAAAGTCACAGTGTGGCATAAAAAAATTAGAACAAAATAGTCTCCAGATTTAAAAATTCAAATATACAGACCTTTGCATTTACACGTTGAAATGCCATCTCTATATACACAATGCAAAAATTCCTTATCATTGGAGTACCACTAGATTCCGAATAAAGTTTCCATAACTCCATCAAAGGCAAACCAATATCGGACTGAAGTTTCACTCTTTTGTTCACATGACTCAAAATCTCAAGAACCTGTTGAAAAGATAACAAATTGACAACTACAGGACGTTAGTTTTTAAGCCAATCTATTTCATTACCTCAACAAGTCAAGAAAGCAAAAGACTAAAACACAGCTAACATGGTAATTAAGCTTGAGAAATTACTGTCATTGAAGCAAATTCATATACATTTTACATATGCATTAACAAATTCTAAGCAATTTTAACATGTTCCTGAAAAAATTTGAGATAACGATAACCGTTAACCAAGATGAAAAATCTACAAATCCCCAAATTATCAATATTCCAATTAATACACAAGATTGAATTCAACTCTAACCATTCGCTTGTATGTTCCCAAAACTAAAAAGAGAAGATTGAAACATATCGCAAACTGCCAAGAGCAGCGATCATTCTCAACCAAGAAATGCAATTTCGAAGTTCCACTGAGGCCTACAACCAAATGTCACAAACATATTCAGAAGGTACCTTGTTCCGAACGGCTTGTGATTGAGACGATAGCGAGGAGATGCAGAGGGGAAGGAGCTTGGAAAGCAAAGGTTCGAGTTTGGCATCATCACAGAGAGCCAAACGAGTTAGCATTCGATCGAGCAGCTCTTCAATCTCAGCATCCGACTTCGCTGCCAGGGGGGACGATGACGTTGACGATGATGATTCCGCCATTTCTTCTCTCGCTCTCGTTCCTCTTTCTCTATAGGCTCTATACCCTTCTTCGTGCTCAAGTTAGGAGGAGCATGTTCTTGGCTTCTGTAATTTATAGTAGTTAACACCAGCTAGCTACAGTTTTCCGCCAAACAGTTCCTCATTTTTCCAGAAAAATATATTCGATTTATTTCTTAAATTTCTCAGGAAAAATGACTGAAAAATAGCTTCTGAAATTTAAAAAGACAGATAGGTCAAGTAACCAAGCAAAAAGACGAAATGGATATGAAGTAGAAATCTAAAATTTGCAAAGCTTGGTGAAAAGACTAAACCGTCACTAAAGTAAAATGAAAAGTATCAACAGATTTTGCAAAATAATTGACAACTTTCAAATTGAATTTGACTATTTTCATAATGTGTTTTGCAATTTGTTATTAGTCATTTACAAACTAAGTGAAACTCAGAAAATTGAGTTGAACAAAATTTCTAAACATGTAACGTGACTGATCCCTTGTGTAATGAAAGTAACCATTTCCATAATATATTTTGTAGGGAAAATAACAATAAAATACCACTTGAATTCCAAAAAGACAAATAAGGCACCTGAATATGCAAAATGACATATAAGGGACTGGGTACCAATCTGAAATTCAGATTTTTGGCCAAAAGACCAAAATGCCTTGTCTGAAAGTGAGAGAAAGGAGAGAGGAAGGAGAGAGGAAGACGCTGATGAAATCGGGAAGGAGAGAGGAGGAAGACGCTGATAAAATCGGGAAGAAGAGAGGAAGGAGAGAGGAAGACGTTGATTTTCGATGGGTTCCCATAGCTTAAAATGTTATTGCCTAGCATTTCTCTAAAAAATTTTGGTTCTGTCTCTGTTCTTCGCATGAAACCATTTTTAGAGAATGTGAAGCTGTCTGGTTTTCTAGTATTATTAAACCATTTGTCCTGAATTTTACAAAACATATATCGTGATTTACAACTTTTATAAATGACTACTTTGTTAATGGGTTTTGCAACCTGTTTTCCGGAGATAAACAACTTGTTTGTAAAAACTAATAAAATTCCACGCTAAATTTGACAAAACGTATAGTGGGATTTACAACTTCCGTAGTAAAAATGAGCACTTATTCAATGGGTTTTGTAACATGTTTTCAAGGGATTGGCAACTTGTTTCTAAAAACCAATAAAATTCCATGCTGAATTTTACAAAACATAAAGTGATATTTACAACTTTTGTAGTGAAAATTACCACTTCTTAAATGGGTTTTGCAACCTCTTTTCAGAGGATGAGCAACTTGTTTCTAAAAATCAATAAAATTTCACGCTGAATTTTACAAAACACACAGTGAGATTTACAACTTTTATAGTGAAAATGACCACTTCTTAAATGGCTTTTGCAACCAGTTTTCAGGGGATGGACAACTTGTTTCTAAAAACTAATAAAATTTCACGTTGAATTTTACAAAACATATACTGAGATTTATAACTTTTGTAGTAAAAGTGACCACTTTGTTAATAGGTTTTGCAACATATTTTTGGAGGATGAATAACTTACTTTTCACCACCAATAAAATTTCATACTGAATTTTACAAAACACATAATGTGATTCACAACTTTTATAGTGAAAGTGACTACTTCTTCAATGGGTTGTTTTCACCGGAAAGGCAACTTATAAGTATAAATAAATCATTCAATGAACATGCACCTGAAGTACGTCACAATAAACATTGAACTATTAACTTTCATAATTAACTACATGTATAGTAAAATTTACCATTCACGTAATGGGATTTACCAAAAACCAGCAGGCATATGACAGCAGTTACATTACGTAATTGCTTGCCATTGTTTTTTGATTTCTTCTTCATCATTCACCGAATACTAAATATAAACCCTCAAATGCAATAATCCTGTTCCTATTTCACCATGAAGCAGCCACAAAAATGAATAATCCAAATCCCTCCATCAACTTCTTTCCCACAGGTTCACTCCCTCTCTCACTACAAATGGGGGATTCGGATTTAGTTTCGCCGAGTGGGAGGATTGGTTTCTCCGAGTAGGGGGATTCGGTTTCACTAGCTGAGTGGAGGGATTGGTTTCACCGAGTGGGGGGATTCGGTTTCGCCAAGTGGGGGGATTGCTTTCACCGGGAGGAGGTGATTTCTCCCTTTCTCCATCTCCTCAGTTTTCAAACATAATAAGGGCAATTCGGTCATTAGGCCAAAAATCAAAATTCCAGATTGATACCCAATGCCTTATTTGTCATTTTGCTTATTCAGGTGCTTTATTTGTCTTTTTGGAATTCACATGGTATTTTACTGTCATTTTCCCTATTTTGTAACTTGTTATTAATCATTTTCAAACAATTTTACTAAATATGTAGTGTGATTAACAACTTGTAAAATGAATTTGCCCATTTCCATGACGCATTTTGCAATCTGTTATTAGCCATTTTTAGATAATTTTACTAAACATGTAATGTGATTGACAACTTACAAAATAAATGGGACTATTCCATAATGCGCTTGTGACCTGTTATTAGCAATTTCTAAACGATTTTACTAAACTTGTAATGTGATTGACAACTTGTAAAATGAAATTAACTATCTCCATAATGCATTTTGCAACTTATTAGCCATTTCAAACAATTTTACTAAATGTGTGATGTGATTAACAACTGAAATGTATATGACTATTTTCATAATGCGTTTTGCAATATGTTATTAGTCATTTTCAGATTTGGTATAATTTTTTTAGGAGGCCGAGTTAGACAAATTGACTAGACATGTAATGTAATTGATAATTTGAAAAATGCATTTGACCATTTTCATACTCTTCACTTGGTCAATTTTCACCAAATATAGCCTCTTGGGAGAATTAAACAATGGGGTAAATGTTTTGAGAAATCAGTAGATAGGAGACAAATAGATCAAAAATACATCATAATAAACATGTTAACAATAACTTTTATGATTTATTACACTTGTAATGAAATTCACCACTAAAATAATGGTATTTACCAAAAAGCAATAGCCTTATGACAACAATTGTATTACATATATTCAAATGACAAGTTCACAATGCGATTAAACCAACATTTAATATTTTTTTGTCATTAAAGTCACAAAACATATCCCATTCACAATACATCAACTACAAAAAAAAAAAAGCTTATTTACTAACAAACCCATCATCACCTAATGACTTTAGATTATACGAATAGTCAAAAGGAGCAAGAAAACAATAAGAATCAGTTCCTTCAATATACGTGCAACTGAAAATAGAAAACTTTGATATGAAAAAATAGAAGACTTTCTATGGCAAGAAAGAAAGAAAACTTTGATTAGAAAGATACGCTTGTCTATGCGATATTGATGAAAAAATCATTTCATTTGCAAGTAGCAAGTCTGGAAAATAGAATGCCCATAACACAGCTACTTTGCTGCTATCATGGTTGAGGAAGAAGATTTAGTCATGTCTTCCATTCCTTTCTCTCTCTAAAGAAGATGACCCACAGTTACTGGTTTAGTTCCCATAGCTTCCTTCAAGAAAATCAGAAATAGAAGCAACAAAGCTGAGCTCTCTCTAATTTAGCTCAAGAGGGAAAAAAAAATCTATAATGGCTTTGAAGGGAGAGAGAAGAGCTCTCTCTCTTTGTTTTTGCAACACGAAGAGAGAAAGAAGACAAAAAAGGAATGAGAGAAAGGGTATAGAAGTAATTTGTCAAAATTTATAAATTCTAATTTAATACCTGGAGCCTTATTTGTCTTTTATGAAATTGAAATAACTAATTTGAAATTTTTGAATTCAAGTGGTATTTATATGGGATTTTCCCAATTTCTCAAGTTTGTTCTCCATTTACTTTTAGTTTTTTAAGTTTTAAACTATAAGTTTTGATTTTTTTGATAGACAAAATGATCCAAATTTTTATTAAATTATAAGGATCAATATTTTAAATAAAATTAAAATTAAAAAATCAAAACCTATTATTTGAAATTTGAAAACCAAAACCAAAATAACGATAAATTTAAAGGATTAAAATTTGTATTAACCCATTCTTTTAATTAAAATAATACTATTGAAAAACATTTTTATCTCTCTGACTAAATATTATTTAGTTTTAAAAATTCAACCAATGAGGTTATCAAAGAAAAAGGAATTTGTGTCATGTTTACATTGGATCTACTCAATTGAACAAATTTACATGTTTACGGAAATTGAAAGGGAAAATTGCAAAAAAAAATAAAAATAAAAATAAACCCATCTCATATTTCTTATACTTAATTATACATGCCATACGTGTCATACATACAAACATTACATAAATTGTCATGTTTATATATTGTTTGCATAAAAAGAGCATAACTGACAACTTGCTCGCATGAACAATTCTTCACTTTCTTTTCTCTATTTCCTTTGCCCTTCTTCATGCATGATTCTTTGACATTCATGTATCCTATTACAGTTGGTTAAGGGAAAATAAGATTTGGTAGAATTTCTGTAGCAAACATACTAATATGCATGCAAAATAAATACAAGTGCATGGCATGCTTACCTTGTCTAACATAAGCTAGCTATTAACATACTCTTATGCTCAATATTTCATACTTTCATGTATGGCCATAAAACAACTAGAAACAGAGCATCATTCATTCACATGTTTCATGTCATCATCAAATAACATTAAACACATCAACACACAATCATATACATTAAGCAAACAATAAAGTCAAGTTTACTACCTTGTATCTCTATGTTTTCCTCTTACTTCCTTTTGTTTCCAACTATTAAAGTAGTTGGATCAACTTTCGTAACCTCTCATGACCCTAAATACATTAACACAATATTGTCATTTATTCATTAGAGCCATAACAATAAGCTATTTCAAAGCATAGCTCTCTTGAACATAACTTTAGTATTAACTTTTGAGCTTTAATTTCAATCTTTCTAAAATTAATTTCACATGCTATTCCTTTATATTTTTATATGTAATATCCATTTCTAAGTTCAAATTAGACAGAATCCAACTTCTTCCCCATGAACTCCTCTTAGCCAAAATGCTATGGGATTTAAGACAAAATTTTATTTTCAATTCCAATGCTTTCAAACTTATTTTGTCACTAGTATCATGCATAATTTTTCATTCTAAATATATTAAAAGCATCAAAATAATCAAAATCTAGCACTAATTTCATCCTTGGGTTTGACTAAAATATTCATAAAGTTAAGGAAAAGTTGGATTTATTCCAATTTCACCACAAAACCACTTGATTCTTATTCATTTCTAGTATTTAAATATGATTTTAACATCAATTTCATCTTCTTCTAGCTTCATGAACTTTATTCAAGACCTCTTCCTAAGGTTCTCATACTTTCAAACTCCATAGAACTCAAAACCAAACTTGAAAACACAAGCAACACTAGAATCAAGAGCTAAAATCATATTACATACCTTGATTGTTGCTTGATTCTTGTTCTTCCTTCTTCCACCCCCATGACCCTTCTTTCTTCTTTTCTCTCTTAAAGTTTCAACTTTTCTCTCCCTTTGGAGTGTTGGCCGAAAATCTCCAATAAAGATTTTGTGCTTCCCCTTTCTCTCTTAGTGTTTTCTTCGTTTACTCAGGAATCTGAGATAACCTCGTATCTTTTATCAAGTTGTCTTACCTCTATTGAAGTCTCATCACTCACATGAGGCTTAGGTTGCCACTGTACTTTCAAACTAGGGTATGGACTTATGCTCCTCCCAAGCTTGGGCTTACTTATCTCAAATCATTCCTTTCTCGAAGAGGAGTCTCTTAACCCTAAGTGGTGGCTACCTATCTCTCAAAATACTTTCTCATTTTTTAGGATTTCTCTAAATTTTGGGCATACTTTTTATCCTTATCCTTTCTAGTCCAAAACTTTTCACAGTAAAGGTCTAGGAAAAGGTTTAAGCCAAAGTTCAAGCAACAGTTCGAGCAAAGGTTTGAGTAAAGTTTTAAGCAAGCCCGGTACAGGAAAGAGCCCATGTTTAGGTAAGTACCGGGTTATTAGGATGTGGAATTAAAGTTGAGTTTAAGGTGATTCTTACAGGAAAATATGCATACTAAGGAGTATCAAGAAAGGATGGTAAGTCCTTAATGATTTACAAATCAAAAGAGATGAGAATGTGACGAAAAAAAGGGGGTTTAGCAGCTTGCTCATTTTAGGCTATTTTTTACACTTGTCAGTGCAAAATTCAGGATGTTATAGTTCTACCCATCTCAAAAGAAAATTTGTCCTTGACATGGAAGGGTCAATCCTTACTCATATATTGAGAGGTTCATTAAGGAGAATGTCCCCCTTTATACTCAACTTTGGCCTTGAAATTCATTCCTTTCTGTCAACTTCAAAAATCATTCATCTTTGCATATTTCATTACCTCTAAACTCTCAGCTTTCTCAGGCCACTCTTCTTTTCACTATGCCACTTTAATCCTCTAGGCCACTAGCTCAACTTTATGGCCCTTTTAGCTTGCTTTCTTACTTATGCTAATCTAACATATCTTAGTAATCTTACTTATGCCAATCTAACATATCTTAGTAATCCTCTTAGTCTTCTCATTGTTCTTGCTGTTCTTTATTGATTTTGGATAGTACAAGGAAAGGACTCATAGAATCATTTTCTATTTTACCTTCTAACTTTCTTTAAGACTCTATTAGCTCAAAGAATATTTCATTTTTACATTACTCTTGGCTAGTTTTTCTCTCATTGAAATAAGGTTAACTCTGTGCTTTTTTTCTACTGCTGTTACTCTTTCTTATGGGAAGACATATTATTTTTATTGGAACAACATCAACTCAACCACTTTCTCTGCCTTCATTGGAGGACATATAGCTTTTATAGACAATGTGTCAACTCTACTATTCTTGGAGGACGCACTGGCACAACATCAACTACGCCATTTTAGAGTAGAGAATGTGTCAACTCTATTGTAACTATTTCTCTTTCTTTTCTTTAGAGAACAACTCGCTCTTGATAGAGCGATGTCAACTCTAATTCAAAGGACTAGTTATCAATTTCTAGAGTACTCTGTGACTAAAACCTTCCTTTTGCTTGATCTTTGTCATGGCACATTCTTCACATGTCACATCCCTATTAGAGGAAACCTCTCTACCTGAGTCATTCAATCACTTGGCATTGGCATTTATCTGTAGGAATCCCATCTCTTGGATTCCTCACTAGCTTGGGAGCTATGATCACACTCCTCATAGATACTTTAGGGAGATGAAGGGATACTATCCAATCCCAAGCATTATTGAACATCTAAGCATCGTTGGGAACATACTCATATGTTTATATCAGTTCCCGATGCAACTATCATCTATAACATTTTCGTTTGTTTCTCTTCATCTTTATTCTTAAGGGATACTTCCTGACTTTTATTCTTTCTAACTTCTCTTATCTCTTGACCATTCATTCATATGGTCATACACGGGTCATCATAACTGACCACATTGTTTAGCATATATAGATCATTCACACATATCTATTGTGTGCGTGGTATTTCAGCCAGGCATCTAGCTCATCATTAATTTTTTCATCCTAGCTCTAGCTAGAAAGTGTAGTGGACCCACAAACCATTAGTTCCAAGATCAAAACCTGGCTTTAATACCAAAACAGGGTCTAATAGCTTGGCTATTTTAGGTTATGTTTTTATATTTTTAGGCTCAAAATTCGGGATGTTATAAATTTGCTATTAGCTTGGCCTCCTAAAATGATCATAGGATATTTGTGGCTCATTGTGTGTTGGAAAATATGTTACTGCTGGTGCCAACAAGGAAAGGCAACTTACACATCTTCCTTTTTTTAACTAGCGCATGTATATATCTCTCTCATATGAATGTAATCCTATTGGAGACATAATACTACCTTTGGTCCTAAACATAAAAGTTAATTGGAGTCTCAATTTGATCATAAATACATGACTCCAATCCATTTTTTGTTCCTTATGTATTTATTTTTCTTCCAAAGTAATTTTTATAGTGATTACACATGTTAAAATATTTTCATTTTAATGTGAATGGTTAGCAAAAGTATGTTAGGAAAAATAATACATATTTATAATAAATAACTAATTTAACTAATTTTTTAATATTTAAATTAGTTATCTAACTATTATATTATTAAATACTGGAGTATAAGTATTCCAAATTCGAAACTAAATTATTTTACTTGCGTATTCAATTTTTTTCTGATAGTAAAATGTTAGGCAAGGGTTTGAGTTCAACCCAAGTCAAGGTTACGGTGTTTGATTTGCTCTTTCTAAGTAATGCCAATATTGAGTAGGACAAACCTGCATTATAGCCTAAATCATTAAACACCCTGAATTTAATATACCTTTCCAAGCACCGCAAGGGGGAATCGAATCTCCTTCCTTATGGATGAAGGGGTGCGGTTCTTACTCAATCCAGGAACGATACGCTCATATTCCAATTTGACTACTTGATTAATCTGAAGTGGGCACGCAGCGGTAAAGGTCCATTAAGGATTTGGAAAAGAAACAACCCAAACACTCAATAATTTAGGGAGGAACTTGGTTTTAGCTAGCTTGGTTGCCTCATTTAATTCAAAGAATTGAAAGATGGTTCTAGGTTGTTTGGTGGATTTGAGAATTACAGTTTGGGGAAGATTCACCACTATTGATTTTATTGGAGATCATTCTATGGCTAGACTGTGGAGGATTACCCGTCTATGATTTGTTTTTGGGCTATGTCTTCCCTGATTCCGTCAGGCGCATTATTGGGAGGATTAAGGATGATTAAAGATAGGTTTCTCCCGAAATTGGACAATTTGTTATAAGAATTTTGAGGAACATACAGAATACTTTGAACTTGCGTAGATTTTTTTAACTACACAAAATTCTATAGATTTCAGTTGTTATGCATTTCATTAATTTTTGGTCACCAGACTCCAACAAGTTGCCTTCTGCAATTTTTTTTTTCCTTGGTGAGTAGATTTAGCCTTTTTGATTACCAAACAAAAAAATACCACCTCTTGTCCTTAACATAACAATTAATACTTTGTATTCTATCTTTCACTAAAATATTCCTATTGATCGTAAAAAGTTCTTATCAAGAGATAATTCTAATAATTCAATACACGAGTCAAAATAATAATTTAGAAAAATTAATACACATTTGTGATAAATAACTAATTTAAGTAATTTTTTAATACGTTTAAATTAGTAGTATAACTTTTATATTAAAGATTGTAGGTAATATATAACAAAGTTGTTATATAAAAAGCTATAACAACAAAAACGTTTATTACAATTCAATTGCGTGCAGTCATCTACTTACTACTTATTACCTAAAAGAAAAATGTGGAAAATAGAAAAAGTAAGTTGCATTGCATATATATGTATTAGCAACATCTGTGTCAATAAAAAATGCATTAGTCATACTGTTACATTATTTATTATATATTTTTGTTAATATCAATAGAATATATTTTCTAGGAACTCAATCACTCCTCACTAACGAGAAAAGGCGGAAATTAAAAACTCAACCACTCAAGCCTATTCATTCAAATAAAGAAACAAAACAAATTAAACAAATCGATCAACAATAACTAAAAAATAAAACGAGGTATACAAATATAAGCAGCTCTCACGTACCTCTCTCTCAGCTCATCAAATCAAACAACAAAACAACACTTCCCAGACAAACAAGAGAACTTCCCAGAAAGTTATAAATTTTCCCAGAAAAGACAGACCCAGCAGCTGATGATTTCTCAGCTCTCTCATCAGCATCATCGTCATCATCTACCTCACGGGGATGGTCGAAGTTAGCAGGAACAATAGTATCTGGTGTCACATCTTGGTCCCCAGACATAGGGCTAGCAGGCGAAGGAGAAGAAGAATCCTGAGATGAAGGAGGAGAAGAATAATAATCTCTGAGACTCTTGGGCAATCCTTGACCATAACTCACGTTGATCTTGAATTGTTGTCCGTTCTTGCACTGCTCGCCGTCGTAGTCGCTTGAGAAGAAGTACGTCATCCCTTCCTTCACCAGCGGCACTGCCACCGTCACCGGATGCGGCTCCGTCGCTGACGGGTCGGAGGCTGACCACTGGGTGGTGTCGTTGTCTTGTGCATCGTCGTAGTCACATAGTTTGTACGTTGTGAAGTTGTATGTTTGGATAACAGAGTGGTTGTTGTCTGTGTTGAAAACTGCATGCAACAAAATTAACAATAAAATAAGGTTATTTGCAGCAAAGCATGAATAGAATTTGGTTAAATCAAAGAATTTGGTTAAAAAAACAAAGTATATAATGAGCATGGCATGTATTATTTCACGCTTTCCTAAGTAATTTTGAGTTTTAAAAATTATTTTTTTTAAAAAAACTTACATTTAAGAGATAATTTTTTTATTTTAAATTCTATACATATTAAAATATTAAACTATTAAAACTATAAAGGTAAATCATATTAAATCTGAACCGTTCAATTTTGATTTAAATGGTTCAGATTTGGTATTCACTCTTTTAATACTACCCCTATATAATCTTTTAATACAAGGAAGGAATATATAACATAGAGAATGTTTTCACCTAATTAAAGAAAAGAATATTGTGAATTAAAAAAATGTTGTAGCAGTGATCACTTTGAGCATCAGATTCTGAGGTTTTTGTTTTTGCCTCTTTTGTTCTATCGAAGCCACATAAAGAGACGATCATACCAGTTTGCCATTTTTTCTGGGTTATCATTAAATTACAAAAAGGAAATTAAATTACAGAGAAATTGGACCATACAATATTACAATGGATTGTTAAAGCAAGAGAAGCAAACTGATGAGAAGTTTCCGTCAATTTTCTATATATAAACAGAAAAATAGCTCTCCGTTTCACTTGAAGATCCATCAGATCAAACCACTTCAATTCTAACATCCATAACATCAGAAAACACACGCGCGCACACAAACACTCAACAGCAAGAACAGAGGAATCATAGAACTTAGCAGTAACATATGTGAGCAATCAATCTAATATACTACTACTAAGTTCAAATAAACGTTCTATACACACACGCGTACCCAGAAAGACACAGACACAATCAGTAAGAAAAGAACATCAGAGTCAGACAACACTCAACAACAAGAACAGAGGAATCATGGAACTGATGATAATAGTAACCTAAATGAGCAGTCAATCTGAGATAGACTAGGTTCAAATCGTTGATCTAAAAACACACACACACACACACACAAAATCAGTAAGAAAAGAGAGTCAGGGTCAGGAAATACAAATGGAAGTATGGGAGTCACTTACTGAGGAAATCCCCTAAGCTGAACTGTTTGCCAGAGACCCATTTCTGGTAATTAACAGAGGGCTTCTCAAGATTGTCGAACCAACCCAGAGAGTCACCCACTGTGTAATTCTTGTAAGCTTTAGCAGATCTTGAGAAGCAGAGAGCAATGACAACAAGAAGAAGAAGACAAGAGAAAGAGGAGGTTGATCTTCTGTGTCCCATGTTTTTTTCTTGGGATTTGTGAACCGGTAGATTCAGAAGAAGAACAACAACAAGAAAAAGAAGCAGAAGAAGCAGAGGAGGTCAGTTTGATAGTTTCTCTGACTTGAAAAGGGAATGAGAAATGTGAGATTGTCATGTTGCCAGCTATGGCATGATCCAGAGAAAGTCCCTGACTTTTCTTGGAATTACTAAAATAGTCTGTTTCTCATGTTAGCTCCTAATTAATTGTGTCATAAAGAATCGTAGTTGTTCCTCGGAAAAGCGGTCAATACATGGAAAATCACAGTTACCAATTCATAACGAATATTAGAGTCTCTTCTGCTAAGTAACTCCCACACGGACAAATGCCAACAAAAACATTAAATTTTATTAACTTTTTTTTTCTAATTTAATAACTTTTCAACACCTATTTTTATTTAATATTGTACATTTTTTTAATATAATAATAAATAAGGTGAAAAATTAAATATTTATATGAAAAATTTCTCTCTCTGTATAATGGGACCAAAATTTTTTTCCTCTTTTAATTCTATAAATAGAACTAGAGAGATATTTTTAAGATACTTTTATTAGTCATTATGCTTTGATCGAATTTTATTTTTTATCCATATAGTTTTGCAATTTTTTTGGTTTGAATTTAACAAACGATCTTTATTTTTTTTTGACGAGTTTTGGTTTTAATCATGATATTTAAATTCAAATCAAATTTTTATGAAACTATAGAGATAAAAACTAAAATTAAACCAAACTATAAGGATGCATAATGATATTACCCCTACTTTTAATATTAAAACCTTATATTTATAGCCAATCAATTACACTCAAAGCAAGGCTTCTTGGTGAGGAAGAACAATTTGGAGGATTGGTTTGGGGGCAAAGGACAAATTCCATGTGAGGGAATATATAAAGAGGAAGGGAAAAGAGATATGCAAGTGGCAAGGACTAAGGACGTCCCAAAAGTTGTGAGACGCCGTTCAGGTCGGTCTCCGTACACAGCAAAACACAGAATCCCAAAACACAAACACGTGGGATGAGGCCGACACTGTTGGTCGGTGAAACTCTTCGATATAGTTCAATGCATCTTTCTTTTTCTGACCCACACGAGGATTATATATGTAACATTTTGATACTTATTATTTGTCACCTATAATAATTTTTCATATAATAAGGAGACCATTAAATAGATAAAAAATTTTATTTTTGTACTTATTAAAGAGAGATGAATATTGAGGAAAAAAAATATGAGACTCATTCCCTATCTCTTAACTTTTATTATAAGTAATAAGGATAGAATTCAAAATAAAACCTTAAAAAGGGTACAAACAACAAATAACAAGAATCAAAATTCCTCGCTACAAGTAACAAATAATAAGGACCAGAGTGATATATATATATATATATATATATGAAATCAATATATATAATTCAAATCTATTATATATACTAGTAAACTCATAAATCAACCTTTTAGTTGATTAGATCAAAAGTTTTAAACAGGTCGACTCATTTGAACTTTATATTTTTTCCCCCTCTTATTAAGCCTGAAATAATATTATCTTAGATCTAAAAATTAGAAAATTTCATAAATTTGTGCTTTAGTAAACTTTATTTCGTTATACATGCAATATAATTTATACACGCCTGGAATAATATTTATTTAATTATTATATGTATCTCCAACAATTAGATCTCAAATGGGTCCCAATTTGAATTACTGACCCCGAGCCATTAACCTTGACCAGCTGATTTACTGGTCTGATTTTTAGTACATTATGTGTCATTTTCCATCATTATTGATCTCTTATCTTCTTGTCACATCGTTCCACTGTAGTTGCACCATGCATGTGCAGCTGTCTTCCTGTAGCTTGCATCGATCTAATGTATAACGATGAAAACTAGGTGGATGGGTGCACACTGGGTCCCAAACACACAACGTATGGAGAGGGACATAAAATCAAAGTCCGGAGATTCATAATATCTAACTTCTTGTAAGGTATTAATGGCATTGAATCTAGTTAAAAAAAAATATTTATAATGTAGCGAATAAATATTGAAATTCCAGAAAGGTATCAATATTTAGTACTCAATAATAGTATTTCAGATTTTTTTAATAGGAGAATATTTATGTCTCATAAATAATGATATTTTTAAGTAAAACTTAAAACTTTTTTTACATATTTATTATCTTTAACTAATTTTAACTAATTTTTTTATTTATGTAATTTTTTCAAATGTTTTTTTTAATAAATAGGGACGGTGGGAGTAAAATGTTCGTTGTGGTGGGTGCATGGAATGGTCCACACAAAGTAGAGTCGCACTCAATAATTTACACAACCCAACAAATAAATGTATAGCTTCCATTAAATGGCTCCAATTAGATATTAGCTGTTCTTCAAAGTTCATGACTTTCAGATACTTATTGATATATATTCCAAAAAAAGGAAATGTATATAAACACATATAAATTTCACATCCTCCTCCCCACCACACACAACATTCTTATACAAATAATCCAAATTCAAAGTTCCATTTGGATTTTTTAATTATGGGTACATATTTTAATTTGATTTTTAATTCGCATATTTATAGATTAAATTTTTTTTCCAACTTAAAGTTCTCAAAAAATTATCTTCTCAATTCAATTCCTCACACACATAGATGTGTGTGTGTGTGTTTTTTTTCCTCTCTCTAAATGTTATTCTTAGACTTCCCGGATGGGCTTTGTGCTAGCTATAAACCCTACTTTTCCTCTCACTATTCCTTTCTCAGCCACTGCTTTTTATATATATATATATATATATATATATATATTTATATATTCCTCTTCCCTCTCCACATTTTCTTCTTTTTCTTTGGGAGGCGATTAGCTTGAGAGAGAGACTGAGGGGAGGCTCTCAGTTGAAATTTTCCTTCTCATTCATATATCTGCACACACAAAAAAAAAAAAAAAAACTTCCTATTCTCTCGATTAGAACTCCTCTTTCAGTTCTCTTCGAAAAGCATGTGGATCAACTCTCCTTGGAAAGTCCTTATTTCCTACGCGACGATTTCTTCATCGATGAAATCTCGTGTACGTTCTGCTCAATCCATTGTTCGTTTGGGCATGGCCTCTAAAAGATTTCACTCACTGTGTTCTTACCCCTCTGTTGTCCCAGACAACTTCGTCGGTTTCATCAAATACCTCGACAAGTTCTTCGAGTCTCGTACGTAGAAGTCGAACATCAAGCATGAGTTCCGAAGGCCTAAAATAAGCTTACCAGAGAAAACGAATTTCCCAACATTATTGGATTTTGTGACCGTTCGTCTTCTGGGTTGGTATCATAAACCCTTGTCTTTGAATGTCCAAGAGCTGATCTTGAAGTTCCGTGGGGAAATAACAAGCTATGATTGTTACGATGAAATTAAGGTTTATCTTCTTATATCAACCTTAATTTCTCAGAATTGAAGCCACTAAAATCAATCAACCATTACAGAACTTTTTATTTGTAATCAGAAGCCAGTGGCTTTGTGAATATAATACTGATATGAATTGATCAATTTGGTTTGTCTATGTTTGAGATATTAAAGTATCATTATTTATTGGATTAAGGTCCGATTTTACTCCTAAAATTTTCACAAAGAAACTGTGAATATTCGAAGGTTTTGGTAGGATCAATATCACCTAGGAAATGCAAAAAAAGAAGCAAATTTGTTCTAGCTATTAAAAAATTAACCTTGAACATTAACATTTTGTGATGGCTAAGGGTAACATTGCTCCTTTTTTCACACTTTCAAAATGATATTGATTCAAAACAAACTTTTGGATATCCTCACTTTATTAATAGTGTTTGTTACCAATTTTTTTGTTGATTAGTAAAGATTGTTATTATCTCTTATTCTTCTTAACAATGTGAAGTTGTATACTTGGTTTGTTTGTATTAATTCCTTTTTAATGTTAGTTTTCGGTAAATGAAATTTGTCATGTTGCCCGTCCAACGCATATGTGGGAAAACTGCCTAATTGGTCCAATTTTTATAATTTACTCTCATTATAATTTTTATATTGGTCCTTGTAATTTAAAAACTTATAACTAATTCCTAGATGTTTACAGAGATTGAAATCTATGCCAGTCATATATTATGGCTTCTTATAAGTGGTAAAAACTAGATATAATATGTCTTATTTGCTACAATTTTAACTTATTTTTTAAATTTATAATATAATTAGATGTAGGTTTCCTGTATTAGATAGAGTCAGAAAAGGTCTGAATAAAATAAATAATTTGAAATTTGCAATCTGAAATAAACTGATATTATCTAAACAATTTCTGTTGGCCAAAAAATTCAAATGATTTGGAATAAAAATGTTTGCAAAGTATCTTTAAAATAAAAAAAATAGTAAAAAGAATAAATATCTGATACATTACATTACGAGATTTTAGTGGATTTCATCTCACTAACCTAGAACTAAATTGGATTTTTTGTCCAAAATTAATTAATATAACCTGGTCAAATCATTTTTTTCCTCAAAAAGGTCTTTTAATTTTGATCCCCGAAATCAAAATATGTTTAAAATCGCAAAATTTAGATGAAAATAATCAACGGATATCTACCTATCGGAAACGTGAAAATATATCTTTTTTGAAGCAGATAATTATCTAGTTTGAATTCATAAAGAAAGGAATATCAATATGTATCTAACTTTTTAAATACACACATACCCATCACGATAAGTACTCATACTTATCTAAACACATGATGAAATGAAACTATTTGTCTACATGAACAGTTAATTTTTATTTTTGTCTTTCTTCGAATTCCAATTGAAATTTCCTCCTTTTCCTTTTCCAAATATATTGATTAGTTAGAGATAGTCTAGTATGTTCAAATTTATATTTTGTTATTTAATCTTTTAAATAATTACAATTTTTAAGATATGCACTTCAATATATAAATATTATTTTTTTCCGGTGATAATATAAATATTATTTTAGTTTCCCCAGGACATTCTCTTTAATTAATTTATCCTAAAAAACGTATAAATAATACTATTTTAAAAAATTAAATTATCCGCTTAATTATTTAAATAACTTGAGATTGGAAATCTATCTTGCAATCATCCAGATAAAATTTCAAATTCATTTAAAAAAGAAGTCTAGATAACATTAT